TATGCTAACATACCAATCCTAAATTTGTAGTAAACACTTTTAAGATAATTAAATAAATAAAATATGCTTTTCTATCTCGCTGTAAATAATAATAAAATGTAAGTGTAAATAATATTAAAAGAAGACCCGACAGTGACAACTAATAGCTGCCTCCGATTCATTAAACTTGGAGAGTGGCGAATCAAACAAACAACTGACATACTTTCATTGGATTGTCATAATCAATCGGCTATAGCATAGCAAGCACTAAATGTAAGCTATCAAAATATTTTCTAGTTTTTAATTCAATTAAATAAATTGGTATTTGCTCGCATATAATTTTTTCCCCAAAAGAGCAAAGGAGATGACGAATCGAAACCGCAAATATAATATACATATGTGATAATTCCTCGATAGTCTGTAGTTTCTAAAATTTTATATTTATCGTTAACTAAATGCTCGTGTGTTTTATAAGCGTTTCCATATCGACACATATTTATTTTATTTGTTTATTCACTTTAATTACTCGCTATTTGATATTCTAATAATTTTCTATATTAACATATGACCACGTTTACTATTTACCCAATCACTTGTTCAAACGAATCGTTTATTTATATTTATATTTATACGAATACAAAATTATAGCAAGTACATACATATGTACTTTTGTAGTTGAATAATTTGAAATGGGCTGCTAACATGTAGTTGCGTTAAAATCCAATAGTGCGGAACTAAATATTGTAAATGTTTCAATAATTTATAGTATTGAATTTCCGTTATACTTGTACTTATTTATTGAATTATGGATATTATTATAACACGATTTAGTTGAAAATTAAATTCTGTTATGCATTATAAGCTGTCATTGTACATTATTGGTGTAACAAACAATAACTTCCTCTGATTTTTTGCTGTTACTCTCACTTTTATATTATATTTACTTTTGATTGAATATACAATACCTCATGATTTTTTAAGTCGTTACTGAATATTTTAGTTAATACTTGTTTTTCGTCATCGCTCTCAGGATCAGTAAGCTCACCTCGATTTTATAAGAAAATTAATATTATTTTTATACACTGCTATCATCTCTCCTTTTTTACCCAACCGTTTTCTCATTATTTCTACATTAGAAATAAAATCAATAGTTACATAGTAAGCCTTACACACTCAACAGGATATGAACGATGTTCGATTATCCATATTGTCTTTAATGCGATGAAAAACTAAACAAAAATACCGACTGGCATCGCGACGAAATTATTATTTGGAAGTAAAAAGTTGATCTACAAGTATATAAATAAATGTTAGTATAATAACACTTACCGATTTAAATCTACCAAAAAAGTTTAAAATGACCTTCCCAACAATTTTAACTTAATTAATAATTAGAATTATATAACAAATATAAACAGTTATGGTAATTATGCATTTGTATAAGAGTTAAATCCTGTTTTTTACCTGCACCAAAAATATTGAGTACTTTTTATACCTTGAATAGGAAGATCGGAGACCATATAAGGTACTCGTGCATATAAATGATCGGTGTGACGAACTGAGTCGATGCCCGTTTGCTCGTCCTTACATATGCGAACTAGTCCCGCAGTTTTTGAAAAATGAAAATCTAATTTTTAATCCTGATGTTGGGATCCCGACGTTAATTCTAAAGCAAATTATTTTTTTAAATCCCAGCTTGAGATTAAAATTTTTATTTTTTTATTTTTCAATTCGGGAGTTGGAATTAAACATTGTCTTTATGGAATTCAATTTTTTTTTTAATTTTTAAGTCTTGTTTTTTTAATCCGGTATGATTTATTATTATTTTGTAATCCCAAATACGGGAGTAAAAATTTTTTTTTTAATTCAAATGTCAATTCAATTATTTTTTAATGCATTATTTGCAACCCAGCTGTGGAGATGCAACGTTAGTATAATTCTTATATACCTTCAAATTCGAATTAAGTGCAACAAACTGACGGATTGGTTTCTACGAATTTACCAAACTTTATATATAGGTACATGTTGACTTCAGTTTCTAGATAATAGGTCTATGAATTTCAATACTTACTTATGTAGCCACATCTGTAAGCTTCATTCGTTTGCGGTTGCATTTAACGAGTTGCCACTAACATAGTTGCTAATATTTGGTAACAACAAAAATAGAAAAACAAAAAAACAACGAAATATGTATGTATATTTAACTATTGCCACTGTAAACGATTCTATTGAAAACGATATGTAAATTGTGCTTTTTGTACAAATTGCCTATATAATGCCTCCCTTTTCTATATAATAAAAAATAAAAAAATTAACTCGTAAATAAGATAAATTGTGTAATTTTTGCAATGAATTATCCGCTTTGTTGTGGACTGAAGCGTCAAACTTTGGGTTGTGTAATAAAATTAATGATGCACATGCTTGGGTGGGAGTTGTATATTTCTATAAGAGAGACACACACACCTGTATACAGAAGTATCATATTAAGGTACTTATTATATAATGAAAATAAAGAACACCACTAGCTATGATTTCCGGATTTCATCTCACACATCCAACATTTTTTTTCTAAGCTAGAGGCATTAATGAGGATCCTCCATAGGTAAGCTCGGTCAAATCTTTAGCAGAGATGGCCGTGCCAATGATCTATATATGTATGTATATAGTTTATATACATATATGTATATAAAAAAACTCAGTATAAAATTTGTTTATTATTTTAAATGGACATTGGGTGGTTAGGTTTTGAGAGCCGACGGTTTCGAGAATTGGATGTGGAAATTGCAATCCGCAGAAACTTCTCAGAGAAAAATCTCGTCTTATTATCAGAGTTCATTAACTAGCTTTGTGCTCCCGACGCCACTCTATATTTTGAAGTGATAGCTTATGTCTGTGTAACAATCTAGATCAGCTCCGGTTAGGTATTCACTAAATTCTATTCTTTTCCACTTGCACTGTATATATTTGTACAAGGTGCGTTCCAAAGTAAACTGTAAAAAAGTAACAAATTAAACTCTACTGGCGCCATCTATATGGCGACTAGTGCTTTAGAATCTGCTATCCTTTATCGACTTCCAGTAAAAATTTCATGACATTTCATCTATTGTAAGTGAAGTTATTGCGTGTTAAGTGTCAGTATGTTTTTGTCTTCGGTGCGAAAATGAGCTTCTAACAAACTGCCAACATTAAATTTTGTTTTAAAATTGGTAAAACTTTTACCGAAACGTTTCAATTGATGAAACAAGTTTATGCCTATCCCGTAGCAGAGTGCACGAGTGGTTTCAACGCTTTCAAAGTGGTCGTGAGGACATAAATGACGATGAACATGTGGGCAAAAATCACGCTTGGAGAAGTCGAAAGTGAAGACAATGCTGATTTGTTTTTATAATTCCAAGGGTATTGTCCACAAAGGTTAATGCGGTATTCTACCTTGGAATTTTGAAGCGTTTGGTGCGCCGTATTCGACGTATTCGGCCCGAATATCGCGAAGGTGGAAATTGGCGTTTGTTGCACGATAATGCGCCGTCTAATCGATCGACGCTTGTGGCCGATTATTTGACCAAAAATCACATTTTGGCAATCAACCACTCCCCGTATGCACCTGATATGGCACCGTGCGACTTCTACCTTTTCGGAAAAATGCATTTGCCGATGAAAGGAAAGCGTTATGCAGACGTGGAGGCCATTCAGAAGGCTTGCACCGGCATACTGGCGGCCGTACTGGGCAACGAGCTAAAACACTCGTTCGACATGCTTTTGGACCATGCAAAAAGCTGTATTAAAGCAGAATGAGACTATTTTCAATAAAATTAATTGATTTTGCCGATGAAACCATTTCCTCTGTCTTATTTTTTAAGTCCTGTTTACTTTGGAACGCACCTTGTATATGTATGTACAGATATATTACCTTCGAAGACTAATTAGATGTGTTACATTTAGAAGACATAAAAATATTCTTCTTGCATCTCTTTTATCTCGACATCTGTCGTACCTAAGGTCAATATATTCTACACCGACAAACACCGAGAGTATTTCATGAGTAAATACCTTAGACCTTTTCATTATCCACATTTTTAATTACTTCAAGCTACGCTCTGAAGGTGATGAAGAGCGTGCGTTGCAGCAGTTTATTCCTCTGGAAGTAACAGTTTCTTTAATTTTTTTTTTTTGTTTGGACTTAACCTATGGACTTAACCTTTTTTGTTTGATTTCAAAGTCGGTTTCACTTTCGGTCTAATTTTACCGGTTGGATCCAGTTGTAACTAAATGAAACGTGTTTCTGTAGGTATTTTCCATGTTTTCCAGATATTCGCACACAAACACATACACATACGTGCTGAGCGGTGGACTAAAGAATGAAAGAATTGCTCATTTAGTACTGGCTCAATAGTTAGTATGTCGTTATTTACTTAGTTCTAGTCTTTGTTGTTCTTGTTGTTGTTAGCGATTGTGCGACTCGTTGTCATAACTGTTTATGCACACGAATTATAATTGGTTTAAGTGTCGGCTTTTGTTGTTGCCCTACATGTATGTCCATTTAATTTCTTTAACTTTTCCATAATTGCTATTAACTCGTAAAATTACACAATAAATCTGTGGGAGGATGATGATCTACTTGGATAATTTCAAGTTATGTGATGAGTGTGCTTTTATGAGAATATGTAAGTAGATATGTATGTACATATGCGAACGTTTTGTGAAGATTATGTAATCATTGTTTGAGAAATACCTGCAAAATTCTTACATAAACATACATAAACACATTGCGACTTCGCGGTACTAGTTCTGTCTCCGTTTTATGCATTACAAAAGTCACAAACCCTTTAACAGATAGCGTGAATTAGAAATATATTTTTAATATATTATAAATTCTGGCATCCGTTATAGTCTCGTATATCTAAATTTCAATATAAACTAAAAGAGATCCAATAATATTTATATACAACATATTTGTTGGAGTGAAAACGTTTGCGATTAAGTATGCTTAATTTTAACTTTACTTGAAAAACTACAATAAAAAGTACAGGCATTAAAAATTAGAAGCAATCTCCAGGAGTTTTGGCGAATCACAGTCGATGTGTGTGGCCTGGCATTGATTTTATTGAACACAATTTGTCTCTTATTGGCTAAAACTGCCCGCTCCTTCAGACAGTCCAAATGTACAGGTCCGAATTAAGAGTTTGCCCGATTACTCACAAAACGTCTCTGACTGTCAATCCTGGCTTGTTTACCGTTTACGCCGGCTTACCGCGACTCGACCACATTCTCACAATTATTTGTAAATTTTTTCCTCGGGTATCCAAAAAAAATTATTATTCGGAGACTTGTTAAAACTTTTCAGTAAAATTATTATTTTGACTTGTAGTTGAGAATTTTACGTGGAAACTAATTTAGAATTTATAAATCCAAAGTCAGCGAAAGATTCGTGCCGACTATGCTCCCAATATTTAAAAAAATTTCATTGAAAAAAAGATATAATGCATCTTTATGTTTTTTAGGATTCTATTAAGTTTTTTAGGAGAATTAAATATTTTCAGAACATTCCCGTTTCATCATTTTTGTAATTCAAAAAAGTTTTTTTTTAAAAGGAATCTAGTAGGGCTTTAATGCTTTATTATGAAGCAATGTCAAAAATGTTTAAACAATTTCTGAATAACTGCATAAACATTGTAAATTTATATTTCACTTTGTAATTTTTGAACGTGACAAACCTAAAATATGCAAGCAATTGTGCAAATTCATTTTGGTAAAATTTTCAAGTAGCTTTAAAAAAGCTTCAAAATAATAAAAGTATATTTTTTTTGCCGTTTTAGTGCAAAAATGAGCGCTCCTACAGCCTCAACGTGCAAAACTTGCAAAGAACTCATTTATGTACTCGTGTATATATTGTATATATATGTATCCATGTGCTTGTGTATGTGTTAGTGCAATATAATTTGACTGTTTGTCGTCATACGCGCTGAACAAGTGAATACATATTAAATTAAATAAACATTTATTACTGTCGTTATTGTTGTGTCGTTAATATTGTGATTTAAGATGCTACAACAACGACAAAAGAGCGGAAAAAATAAATAAAAAATAAAAAAATCACATTTTATGTGGCAATGATCGCTGTGTATGTATTATATAAATTTATCTACATATATGCATGTACTCAAAAGTATGTGTTCAGAATTACACACATATGTATTAGCATACATAATTTTGCTTTTGTATGTGTGCAATAATGGATCGACGTCAGCAATTTGTATCCCGCTGTTCCACATTGTCAATGTACACACAGCGTTGCACGATCAAACTCTTATCATACACTCATGTATATACCTATGTATATATTATATATCTTCATATATGATTTATCGCGCTGCCAGTGCAACTCGTCATTGCCACGATCAGCAGCAACTGCGGCAACAATTTTCCAATTGTATGCGATATTATTTGCAATAACGGTAAAAACTCACACGTTTACAACTCATTTTATATGATGGATGGGTGCAAAAAGTATTTGGAAACTTATTGAGAATTTGAATATTTAAGTATTTGAGTAATACTACCGAATATATCAACTGAAAATTGAAGTTGACATGTTTAAATTTATATTTTAGCTGTCGAGTATAAATCTTTACTAGTCGAAGCTAACACAAACAGGTTTCATCTCATCTGATCATAGAACTTTTTCCTGATTTAGCAATCGTTCCATTCCCAAGACTTCTGACAGCACTATTTTGACAAGAACAGGTATTGATTAATCACTTGGTGCCGGGTCTATACTTTAAGGTGGAAGCCTAAGAACTTCTCAACCAAGCTTCCGGAGCTTATGGGGAGTCATTTTTAATGCGTCTGGCAATTTACGACCACTTCATTTCAAAAGTATCTATTTTTCAAAAGAACTTTGACTGAATATTAAACAAAAAATGAAATAGATATGACTATAACAACAACAACTGTTGGTTCATCCTAAATGGATGCTTCTAATTGTAAGTTGTCTGATTGAGAAAAAAGTAATTTTTCGTTTTGAAATCTTTGGACAAATTTCCGCAAATCCCAATTTGTTTTACATAAATAAATATATGGTGCATACAATACATAGAGTATATGAACATAAATACACGTATATGATTATGCTTTTATTAAACATAACTGCAGCAACACAATTGTATTTACTTATGTGTGGGTGTAGCTCCAATCTGTTAAATTTGCACAGCGGTTTTAAGCTGGCCGGTAGTCAAATAATTCACAAATTCAGCGCTTGTGGGCATTTTGACCTCAACGACACTTAATTTTTTCACAAACAAATGCGATTTCAGCAAAGAAAAGGCGGTGCAGTCACATAATATGTGTGTATGCTGTAATGTTGAGGCCACTGTTTTCACCTGCCTGCTGAATGCACTTTTCCCGACGCTGAAAACAAAGCTTGCGATCCAAACAAAATAAAAATGGCCAAACATATATATATAGTATATGTATATATAATATATGTATATATAATATATGTATATATAATATATGTATATATATATACTTGTATATATATAGTCGACCTTGCTGGCATAAAGTGAGCGACAAAGCGCAGAGCGTATTGTATGGCGTAATGTAATGAGGATGCGCAGCTAAAACAAAGGGGGTTACAAAGCAATAATGAATGCGAAGATTCATTGCCACCGTGTGCGGTTGAGAATGATTATAATTTCTCCTCTGTTATATATACATATTATATGTATAGGTATGTATATATAGGCATACCTTTGATAGCGCTGTAATGAGCAGTTAAGCACAACAGGAGCCTAAACGTGCGTTGGTAGGGTAGGACAAGGCGAATGGCAAAGGTGAATAAATCATTGCTTGGACAAGACGTGGGAACCATGCAAAATAAATTACAATTATTTCATATTTCAAAAATAACAAATTTTCATAGTTTTCACTCATTTTATTCGTGATAAAAATAAATAACAGCTATAAATACAGGGTACAGCCGTCATATAATGTTACTGAGATACCGTGACATTATTTTCAGTTCAGGATAGGGTTGCGATTTTCTGAAGATAACTCACAAACCATTTTTGGCCATAAAGTCTACTAAAAAACTGAAAATCATTATATGTAGTATATGGGAGCTGGGGTGGACCAGTATCTTGCGTTCACTTAATTTTTTTTAGATATCTTACATATTGACCGATATATACAGTATAAAGCCAACCGGAAGTTTGAAATCCTTATATTAGTTATATGGGTCTAGGGGTAGTATTGACCCGATTTCATTAATTTTTTTTTAAATCGCATCATATCAATTTATGCAAAAGATACTCTCTCAGTTTGACTAAGATATCTCACATATTGACCGAGATATATTGTATAAAGTTAACTGGAAAGTTGAAAATCCTTATATAAGGAATATGGGGATTAGTGGTAATTTTGACCTGATTTTATAAATTTCTGATGCAAAGGCATATTGGCATCAGGAAACGAGTATCTCTGCATTTCAGTAATAAAGCCCACAGTTTAATCGATATTTTCCGTAAATAGTCAGCGATGAAGGCTTGAAAATTGTGGCATACTTTAGAGGCAGTATTCGTGCAAAGCTTAATTCTGATAACTTCATTGGTTCTAAATGCACAAGTATATACTGTAAAGTAAAAGAATCATATGGATTAAAAATTGCGATATATGGGAAGTATGTTAGACGGGGTCGTACTCCGATTTCACCAACGTACATAATCAAACATTGTTGAAATCCTGAGCTGTGGAATTTCTCTTTAAAGTGGGCGGTTCCACGCCCTTTGTCCAATTTTAATAACGGTTTCCTCTAAAATTCTTTCGTGTCAAATTGGATGTAAAATTTAATGATCATCTGCCTTCGCCCATTTTCACAACGTATAAATAGTGGCTAGAAAGACTTTCTCGGTACGTTTGTTGACTTAGCTTTAGATGTGTGTGAGATATATACATTCAACAAATTAGGGGCCGTAACCACGCCCACTTTTAAACGTTTTTAGCCCACTGGTGACCCTTACTGCGATTTCCTGTACCTAATTACAGCTTTGTATCTTACTTTGGAGCTTAGTTATGGCTTTATGGGTTTTCGTTTAAATACATTTTGTGCGTGTGGCGTAATTGTATGACAGCAATATGCTATAGTGATTTGATCTGAATAATTTCTTCGGAGATTCCATTATTGCTTTGGATAATGATCCGTTCAAAATTTCGTGCAGATATCTCGTCAAATGAAAAAGTTTTCCATACAAGAACTTGTTTCCGATTGTTTAATTTGTATGACAGCTATATATTTCATAGGGTCTCCGACGTTTCCTTCTGGGTGTTCTAAATTTTGTGGCAAACTTAATAGGTATATATTATTAAATTAACCTAATTTATCTAGATTTTTTAAATAAAGGTGCACTTGAATATTTGAATGTATGTATGTATTTACACGTGATTGATATCTAGTAACTCAAATCACGTCACAATATGCGTCGAAATAACTGATGACCACTTGAGTGTTGATTTTTCACTTAATCTAACTGACAACTCTACACATACAAACATCCATATATAGATATGACTCTGCAGACATATTTTAAGGCATTAGAAGGCTATGGGCCAAACAACAATATGTTTCTCACCTTCATTGCGGGCATTGGCGTCACATTTATTGTGATTTTGGAATGATTTCTAATTTTTGATGCGTACATAATTCTTCATTGTCGTTTGAATTGCTCCTTTACAGCTAAAATATTAACACCATAGATTTCATAGCACTCACAACTTTTTCATAAATAACAAATTTATTAGAAATAAACAGTCGAGTGTGTTTTGGTCTCTGTGTCGTTGTGGTATCTGATTATGGCGACAAGATTATGACACTGAAAAAGTCAATTGTTTGTTTGTTTGATTGAATTTCTCAAAACGATAAGACATTGATTGGTTTTACTGAATTGGGGTGCAAGTGCCGTTAGTTATCACGAGCAATTATAATAAGAAATTTTATTTGATTTGCAGTCTGTCGTAACCGGTATGCACCATGGATCAAATTTGTTTTAACCAGTTTCCGAATTTGTTTACAAATCGAGATGTATCTAAAGTTTATAGTCAATTGAAACGAGTGAAATTAATTAGTGTGGTCGATTTGCGTTATCATTTGTTTAGTTTCTTATTAATATATCAATTAGAATGTGTGCAGATTGTTGATATAAAAAATTGCAAATTGTATATATAGAAGGAGTTGTTTGTTTGAATTGATAGTTAAATTGAAATGCACGTTAGATATATATAATATTTGTCGCCTTATATTTTAGAGGTTATTATAAAAATATAGAGTTTATTGACCGAAATTTTTGTAATACAAATTCGATGGGTTTTGCTTGGTCGTATATTAATTCTATTTTTTATATTTTTTCCAAACAGTTTTAATTACATTTTTGCAACCATTTATGTAAATGTGTTATGTAAATTTTAAGTGACGTTAAGTAGAATTGGAGATGCATTTATGGAAATCAAAATTGTCCTTTACTCTGCCTAACCTGCCTTTATCAACACGAAGAACAAATATTTCCTGGTCTACAGATACTATGCTTATTTTATTTTCATGTAAAATGTGACTTCTTTTAGTGCATTCAATTAATATACTTAAAATACTTTTTATTCACGTAACAGCTCACTGATCCTAGCTACGTAAGGGGCCCAGGAAAAATCGGTTGTGCCATAAGTAAATGAGAATGCTTGAGTTTTTTATCGAATGAGCAATCAAATAGCTAATTTCATTTCTGAGATCACTTACTAACTTTTATACTACTCCGATCTATTTCAAATTTTTTGATTCAGGTTTTACTTATGCTTATTCTGATCTCTTTTCCGCTTTAAAGAAATAATTTGCGGAAGGTATACCTACTTTGTTATATATGTAAATCCAGTAAGGTGTACGTAAAAGCGTTTGCGGTTACTATTCGCACGTTTTCGTATTTCCACTCTCTCTGTATAATATATTTATAAACATACATATGTACACGTGTAGTATGCCTGTCTGCCTTAGCGGTCATGCGGTATGCCATCGGTATGTAACGGTACTTTTGCGCAATTTACTAATAAAACACCATTTCATTCCTTGGCCGTAGTGTGGGTTGAACTTAATTAAAATTGTATTAAGAAATGCTAAGCTAGCGACGAACTAAACAACAGAAACGAATACTAAGAGAGTAGCAAAATGGTGGAACAATGATGAATAGCTAATGCGCTGAAAATTGGCAGACATATATTTAACTTCCTTAGAAGTTGCTCGAGTCAGGAAACTGGCAGCTTTAACCAGTTATATGGGTGTGTATCTCCGATGAAGATGTATTCTTATATACTAGAAATTTTAACATTACAAATGCTTATTGGAGGGGGGTTTTCAGTTACAAATCATTGCAATTTGAGGTTAATATTATTTTCTGAAATATTTTAAAAATGAATTGGATAGTCTGAACACCAAAAAGATTGAAAAGATTATTGAAAGGATTATTTCTACAAAGTAAACTCAAACCTTCCAAGAAGATTATTTGACCTTCCTAATCTCAGACTTATATATACCACGTCACATTTTATACAGAGCTCAATCGACGCTTGAATTGTTTCTACAGCCCTTTTTGAGAATTCTATTACTTGAAGATCTGATCTTTGAAAGCTGCTTTATCCACAAAAAAAATTTTCCTTGGCTTTTTTCTTTTTTCAGAAGATATTCATGATATGATTTTTCAGATAGATTTCTAGGATACACGGTTTGTGCTTTCTAAGCTTTTTCAGCATAGGTCCCAATTTGTGTAACTAAAGTTTCTATGTGGCTTACAAGTGGGTCCAACTATGTTCAGGTTAAAACCGACGTCGGAACTTCTTTCCTGTCATATTTGACTAAATCTTTGTTCATTTAAATGTACTACTTTTATTTGTGAAATGAAAACAAAAAAAAAAGGAAAAACAAATCCCTCATTTCACTATTTCTTGCACATCTTGTGCCATCTGAAGTGATTGAGATTTATTGCGCGAACTCGTGTGGCGATGAATAATCCACACAGTAAGATCACACATTTATTCCAGCGGATGCTCAATCGTGGTCAGTCGGTTGGACGTTGTCAGTCGCAAAGACGATGCCGTAAGCACATTTCAATAAGTTGAGTTCCGCCCGTACACATACATATGTATGTATATACGTATGTGTGTCCCTAAGTAACTGTATGCTCGGAGATTATCGTTACAAGAGCTAAGTGAGGTATATTCTAAGCTTCACAATCGCTGCTGTACAGACAATATCCATTCCCTCCACCTGTGTTGGCTTGTGCGAGGTCACGACCTACACTTTGCTTGCTCGTTTCGTAAATTAAACGCACTACAATTGGTTTTTTCCGGGCGTTATTCATTAAACCTTAAGATTTTATAAAATATTTTCGCCTCCCTTGCATTGCTGCAAACAAAATAGACAGTGCCATGATTGAGATTTTGCCTTCATGTCTGTCAGGCATCCGTGTACATGTTACTTATGTTATGTGTATAATATAATATAAACATTAGTGGGGTTTGTACATTTTTAGAGTTCGAAAGCTCTTGAAGAACTGCCAAATGCGCAAGTTTAAAGTAAATAAGTGATAGCTTTGCCTACGACTTTCTTTAAAAAAAACTATAATTACCATGCCACCATGCCTGGTGAATCCTTTTTTGTAGATATAAGATTCCATTCGCGTGGTGAATAACGCGTTAAAAACTCCAAGCTATTATGCGAATGAACTTCAAGTCTGAAACAGAAGTAAATTGATTAGATTGGTTAGATTGATTGCTAAAATCTTTTTATAATTTTTGATTTTATTTTCCCGCTGAAAATCCCAATCCCAATGGGTATCAGAAACTATTATACCACTGCTATCAAGGATGTATGAAGTTTTTGAAAGTTATTTGTTCGTTTTCTGAAATAAAAAGGATATATGGTATTTACTATCTTTTCACTCGATTATGAAGTTTTTATATAGTTTTATTAAAACATCTTTAGGACTACTCAAAAATTCCCTAAAATTACTCTCACTCAAGAAGCTACATCTGAATGCTTCATAGTTTTAGTAATTTATTAGTTTTTGCTTCGAGAAAACATATTTAAATAAATTTAAACAGCTAAATATTTTATTTTTTAACCGTTATCGACGATTTCTTTGCTAACTTGCTCTATATGACGTACATGTATCAACAAAATGGGGCCGTAAACAAAATGCTTAGGAATATTTTGGCTGTGCTGCTGGGTGGGTAACTTTTTTCGGAGGCAATTTTCTCACAGTTGCCGCCTAATTTTTCGAAAAAGATATAAAATAAACCAGAAATGCGATTATTGGCATTAATATAATACTGGCGCCATCTAGCGACTTTAAAAATTGCTAAACTTTCTCCATATCTCCATAAAACTGCCTTAACTTTCAGAAAGTTGTTTCAATGATCCATTTTATATGCATATGGAAGAACTGTAATGTGAGAATACACTTTTCCGAATATTATTTTCAAATTGTAAGATTTCGAAAATAAAAATCATAAAAAGTTTAAAAATAAATAATAAAAATGTAATAAAATTTTCTATTTATATATCATATATATATTTTTTTACAATAGTTACAGGTTTCTAAAGTGTAGCCACTCAGTTCAATCATCAGTTTATATTCAAAATGCGTTTTTCTAAAAACTACATTTTTGAAATTTTCTGGAGCGATTACTCGGAGACAAATGATCCGATCATTTTAATTTTTTTTTGCACATTCTGTATATACAATATGTATGATCAAAAATAGAATTTGGCAGGCCAAAAACTACTAAAATTTTGTGTGAAATTTAACTGTTGTAAACGTCGCCATTTTTCAATTTTTTTTTTTTTTTCGACCGTAACTCATTGTACGGGTAATGTTTTCTATTAGAGAATTTTTCTTTACGTTTCATTTACAACCGGAATCACTGCAATATTGGAGGGATTTACTTTTAGCGTCGTCGGAGATCGCGTGTAACTCCAAAAAATTTAATTTTTTACATTAAACATTTTATTGTTATAGTATAAATATGCCCTTCAAATTTTAAAACAATTAATACTTCTTAAAATCGCCTGTCACTCTAGGTGGGCCCCTCAAGGTCATAAAAGTGATATTTTTTTTTTAATTATCGAGAAAAATTATGAATTATTGAAAAATTAGAAATTATGAAATTATCATATTTTGCACATTTCCCCGCCCTTACAGTTGTATATTATGTATAACTGATATCAGAGTGAAACAACGGATTCATTGAAATACTCGTGTGCATGTATGAATTGCTTCCAGCTCTTCAAGAATTGATTGCACAATTTTACAACGCTCGCTTAGCAGCAGATCACTTAGTCTAATTTTAACAATTTTCCACAACTTGCCGTATTTCTTTCATTATGTGTTTTTTATTTCACTATATTTAAGTGGCTGCTGGGATTTGGTTGATTCTGGAAATTGCTCGTTTCTCGTTGGCACACACATTTAAGGTTGTTGATTTAAATTTATTGTGATTTCTTATGATATGATAATACACAATATGAATGCCTCGCTGCATAACTGCTTAACAAACATTTGCATGTGTGTGAGTGTATGTGCCTAATATGCGTAAGTGATATCGTCTGACTTGGAAGCTGTGGCTTTCCTTTATATTGCTATGTCTTCTGCATTTTTGTATGTATGTGTAGGTGTTTTTTTTTTTAAACACATGCGCCGCATCCGCCATTGATAATTAAGCCTGTGCTATTGTCTGTGGTTAATAACTTATATAGCTATGTGTGTGTGTGTTCGTTTAATATAGACAATGTCAGTGTAATTTTCATTGTGAAAATTTTTAAATCTACAACTTTGTCCATGGTCATGAATCACAGAGTGAGTGTGGTTTTTAGCAATATAAATACATACATGTACATGTATGGTTATATATATATTTATAAATACATACATGTACATGTATGGTTATATATATATATTTATAAATACACCATGTCACCTGCGAATCTTGCAGCTGCTGATTTTTTTCAATGAAACTTTTTTCTCCACTCCTATTTTTTTTATTGTCGATCCCATCAAAACTGGCTGGAACTGCATCTCAACATCATTCTTCATTTTTTGCTGTGCCTCAAATACAATTTAAGCTGTGAATATTTCTTTCATATTTTAGCATAGCAAATATATGTATTTAAGTAATACATAAGTAAATATATTATAACATAAATATATATAAACCACATTTACCTTAATTATAACGGGAGCTTACAACCTTTAATGAAATTTTTAATAAAAACGCGTTCGTTGGCTGCTTTCGTTTGATATTGGGCACCGAAGCGTGTATCTCGTGGTTTGTGTCAATTAACGCTTTCTCATCGCCTGTCTGCGTTCCGATTACAGGCTTTTTTGCCTTGTGCTTTTTTAAATTTAATTTTCACCTATTCACTTTTGTAGCCTTGTTTGCTTTTTTGGTTTTATTTTTTATTTTATTTTATATTTGTTTGTTCGGTATTGATTGGTGAGAATTTCACACAATCGCGAGTCCATGCACAAAAATTCCAACAAAAACAAAAATAAATATATTTGTTAACCATACGTGCTATATATATATGTAGATATATATATATGTATTTCTTTCCAGGTGTTAATGAAATATATCGAATAAATTTGAAGAGCTGATTCTGTTCCATGTAGACACTATGGTAAAATATATACAATTACTCACAATAAAATAGACCGAAATAATTAACAATCTTATTATTATCTTATTATTTGTCGGATAGATTTTTGATTCGTTTTGCCTGTAATCGATTCCTACAATACAAGTATTTATCTTTCAAAACACCATGTTGTTAGCTCTGTTATCTTTGTGTTCAAATTAAATAAATGTGTGCTTTTAAATAAAAAATTATAGGCGTTATTTAGTAAACAATTATATTGTGAATATATAATCTGTAGGATATTTGTTAAAACTTGACATTTTGTCATTATTAGGTATTATTTGTAGAAGAAATTAGCTTAGGAAAGCATTGCACAGTAGCAGAGTGTAAGCTGACAAAAATTTGCTAAATGACGGTTATACCAAAAGGCAAATAGCAAAAATGATAAAAATATCCCAAATTTGTGTTTACTGCTTTGGAACATCCAAAAGAAAGTGAATTGAGGGGACGGGCACGAAAAACGACGTCTCAGGCAGACAGTTACATACAGATTTTATCGAAACCCGATGTTTTGAAGCTATCTAAAGAGAATTGAGTGTAGAAATTTCTTCGAGAACTGTTGCGCGCCGCCTTGTAGAAAAGAATCCCTTTGAATGGTTAACAAAAATGCTGCGGAACAATCGGATTGCTTTTGCTTCAGCGCATATCAATTGGACCGATGAAGAAAATGCAAAAAAACTGGCGTAAGATCCTTTGGCCCGATGAATCTAAAATAAATATGGTAGGTAACAATGTAAAATTTGAGGTTCTATATCCGAATAGTGCTGAAATGAATTCCCGATACACGACAAAAACTTTCAAACACGGAGGTTGTGAGATCATGATATGGGGTTGTTTACAAAATGTTTGAAATATAATTGTTTCCTCCTAAGAACATATAGGTAACATATTTTTATACAAATAGTTGTGAATAGAATTTTGATTATATTTTATTGTCAGTAACTGTATGTATACACTCAAACATCGTGTAATTAATTTGTATATTTTCAATATTTTCGTGCATATAAGAGGCGCTTCTGGTCAAGGTCAAGAAAATGGTATGTCTGGTACTCTCACATATTGTATCGGTATATTTGGTTCGGTTGAAATTTAGAAGCTCAATCAATTTTTTTGAATAAACTCGTATGGCACCCATACACCGAGCTTCTTTTTGTATCTAACAGTGCTTACAAGATAGTCGAAATCGCTCCAGGAAGCCAGTTTGCGAAAATACCAATAAAATAATGGATCGTAAACACTATTTACAGCGTATTTGTAAACTTTAAAATAATATGGCGTATTGCATCTTTGCTGGTCGAGTCTTCACGTCCATACTTAAAACACAACGATAGTAAAATATCTACGCTCGGCTTACAAATTTAAAAATTTGGGTATTTCATTTTTTGAATGCACAATTTTTTTAATTTCTGTTTGCTTTGATAATTTTAGCTTCGTAAGGTTTGCTTCTGTAGGGCTTGCATCCCATCTCTTCTGTCAACATAATAATGCTGTCTTCAATTTGAAATCCGCCAAAAGTCACACATTTTTAACCCTCTATTCACCCATCACTTACACTCGAGACAAAGATAGCATTTCTTTATTATGATTGATTGGGTAATATGAGTTGCGAATTAGTCGGCTTTAGTTCGGCACCGTACACGTGCACTTGAATATGCTATTTTTAAATGAATGTATACATATGTTAGTGTGTGTGTATTTCACTTATTGAAATGATTGTTTTCGAACACAAACTACACTTTTCTGCCAGACTTCCACAAGCAGCCGTTCAAGCAGTCAGTCAAGCGGAGAATCGCTAAATTTCACACAGTTGCATATTGCTAAATGTACACACGATTTCATACTCATTAAAATGTGTGAGAGTGTGGCGTAGCAAAAGTAATTTGCATCTATTTACGAAGAGATAAGTAGGCGCAAAAACTGAACAAACAAATGGGATTTTTCACATAACTGCAAAATGATCTAGAAACTAATAGTTACTAACTATACATTTTCTGCCAACAAAGAAACAAATTTTAGTTTTGTACACAATATTTCGATAAACAACACTGTGTTGGAATATTTGAGATTAGAAGTTGCTTGGCGATAATAAAGGCGTGCCAATATTTGTATTCAACAAAACGTACATATGAAAATTCTACTCCATGTTAGTTTTAACTTCCCGCTAAGAAAATTTTGCAAAATCGAGTTCTCAACAGATCTCGACGTTTTGAGGGTCAAGGAAGCTTCCCCGAACATTTCTACGATGATGTCCGTAGGTCTGTATGTATGTGTGGATGTATGTGTGTGTGTGTGGATGTATGTGACCCTCTTATAACTTTTAAACGGCTCAACCGATTTGAATAAACTAAACGGCATTCCAAAGGGTTTCATTGCACTTGAATTTCGTGTGAGTTTGGATCCAATCGGACCAGTAGATTTTGAGAAATCTCAAAAATAAAAATTTCGCAAAAATCGTTTTTTCAGTTCTAAACCTTGAAGAAACACATCGTTTGCCGCAAACCGGGTCGAAATCGGTTGATTTACTTGCTAGATATCGAAAACGAAAAATTTCGAAGAGCTCAAAAGCAGTGAAAAAAGCGAAATTTGAACGTTAGCGTATGAAATTAGAGGGAAGTTGCAGGGATGGCCCTTGAGGCCAACCGTTTTCCACATTTTTTTAGTTTATTTGTGGTCAGCATATATTCGGATCTGGTCTTTAAATTCTCTCGGATCCGAATAATTTGTAATACCTTTATTGTGATATTTTTCTTTCTTTACATAGCGTCATGGTAACATTAACAAATAGTTTACAAATATGATTAGTTGCGTATTAATTTAAATTCGATTATATGTAGAGCCTTAATTGAGGCAATTAGCAAATTATCTTTACGGAATTTGTAGCAATTTTTATTGACTTAATTGGCTTACTAAAAATTATATTTACTTAGCTTACGCCTTACCTGCTTTTTTCTAGTTTTTTTAATCCGTCGCTTAAGCTGGAATGGTCAATAGATTATCAAAAATTCAAACAGTTTTATTCAACCATTATGAAATACCCTATATTATTTGTCGTGTAGGTTTAATTTGAATTATTGCGGTATTCCTGACTATGATTCCATCTTCAAAGAATTTAACGGTATTTATGAGCATAAGGGACCAGACCTACTTTTAAAGCCTAAAAAAGGTGATTTGCGGGAAATAAAAAAATTACTGTATTAATTGTTTTGAAAATTTAAGATTATTTACCTATTTATGTACATATATATTTTAAAAATACACAGCAGAATTTCTGAAGAAAATATGCATATATTTGTATGTACTTGTAATTATGTCAAAAGTATTTATTTTATTTATTTTCGGCTTTCGTTAATTCTATTTAATAATATTTTAATTGCGTTGAATGGTTAGATATTGATTTCTTGCTGTATTTACTTACACATATGTATGTGTGTGTGTGTAAGTAGTCTCTTGAAAGTGTCTTCTATATGAATATCAATTTGATTAATGACCAAAATACGAAACACATACTAAATATTACGAGTATTTGTACAAAACTTTTATTTTGATATCTTAACATAGATCTACTTTTATGCCGCTGCGGCGCTTCTGTATGTTATTTGATTAAATTTTTGATACTTTTTTATCGACCTTGAAACTTGGACTATAAGTCTTTTAGTGTATTGGTAGACTTCAATAGTCGCTATATATATCACAAATGTACATGATTTATATTTTTAGTTTTTTCCTTTTATAAGTTTTATAACCGGTTTATTAGAGAAGATACATTGTAAAATCATTTGTTTTAATGTGTTAGAAATTTTGGTAGAGAATGTAACTATATAAAGATTGATTGTTGTAAGTTTTAGTTAAATAGTTTTTTTTATCTTATTTTACTTATGTATATATTTGGTGGTCGGTTTTATGCCTCGCTATTATTTTGCTTGACAAATGAACTTTGTAGCTTTTAAGTGGTTGTATCCACTTGTGTATATCAAAAAATCGATCTTTTGTTTTGCAATTTTATCGAATGTACAAATATTTGAAAATATTCCTAAAAAATTTGATGTTGAGAGGAGTGTATTTTGTAAGACTTTTTTCTTTGAACTAAAACCAGACACCTTTTTTCGGAGGTCCACCTGCAGATCGGCTACGGGATCATGGAAATCTAAATTTTTTCAAATTAATTCAGCGATCAAAATTCTATAAAAAAAACACGAAGTAAAACGCTTGTTTCTGCCTTGAAAGAGGATAACTTATAACCTTAAGTCACCATGAAAGAGCTAATGAATTTTATGACAAACTTTTTGTGACCAAAATATACTCAATGATTGGACATTGCCTGCCAAGGAGCAGACTTATCAAAAAAAAAGTTCTTCTTCATCTTGATAAGAAAATGAGATCTTACGAGAGTCTCGAGTCTGTGACCTGTACTCAGACAGACTTTTTAATCACTGTTTCCACTACAATCGTGTATACATAACAGGAACGAATTCAGATGTGCATCCTGCTAAGGATTCAGCTCGACAGTATTCCTGACATTTTTTTTGGATTTACTACCCAATATACAAGTAGTTTTGTGAAAATATAAATTCTTTAAGTAGCTTTAGTTTTTCGTATTTAATTTTTAGACATCGAAACCGAAAAATATCCAGCGTAATTTGTAATGACTTTGAAAACACCTGAGAAAAACGTTTTTAAAGTTTGGAATGCACTTATATAGGATACATTTTTTTTTTTAAATTTGCGTGTAACTTCGAAAATATTCACTGGAATAATATTAAATTTTCTGTGTGTATTCTTAAATATATGTATTGTACATTGAGAAAAAAAAAATAAAAAAAATCGATTTTTTGAAAATTCTAACTGTATGTAACACCTTAACTAAATCAATGATATATAAATATTTTTTAAAAGTGATGCCAGCTGTTAAAAAATAAAACTGCTTAAATATGTAAAGAAAAATTGTATGAAACAATAATTATGTGAGAATATTTGAATAAAATAACAAATATAGCGGCCACCTCACGATAAACAATTAATTATTTTCAATACACCGACGCAATTTGAAAAATGTATGCAAAGCTTCCATACATATTTAAATAATGAAATACAATAAATAAAATAAAGCTTTGGCCTTTTTTAATTGTTCGTATTTGAAAATTTAAGAAAGAAAACATAATCCTGCATACGCCCTATTTATTGGACTGCC